AGAAAAAAAATGAGGATAGCAAGACTCTGTCCCCCCAATTTGGGGCATGTTATCAGGAGGAACCAGTCCCTTCAAAGGGAAACATACTCGATAAAGAAGAGGAACAGGTGAAAAGAGGAAGAAGCTCACTGTGGCGGCTAAAATCGCCTCAAACTTCGCGGCTGTTTGTGAAGATACCACAGGGCCAATCAGTGTTTCATTCTATTGTATGCCATCTAGCCACAAATTGTATGACACTAAAGAAATACACTTTCCCATAGTCGTCCTTCTCAGATATTCATTCTCTTTTATATGAGATGAAACGCTGTTATGGTCAGAGAGGACTTTAAGGGAATACACAAAATATTAATCCGACATGCGACTCATTTAGTGTCTACTCTGTCCATCCTCAGTTGGATGACTTGGGCAAAATGTATTGAACCTATCACCTCTAGATGGAAAATGCTTCGTCCATGGCCTGAATGGATGCTCCTGGGCACACATCTTCATGCAGTTGTCTGATGATTGACTTAGCTTCCTAAGAGTGGGATGTGTGAGTCTAAGGGCATGCCCCCTTTAAACATCAATGCATGTTTCCATAGTTCTCTCCAGAAAAAAAAAAAAAGTTACACTCCATCTCCTGAAAGATTAATACCCGTGGCTGCAAACCAACCCAGCACGATGCTCTCAGACCGCTTTCTCCTCTCGAGTCGTGTTCTGTTGGCTTGAACTCCAAATATAGTCCTTTCTCCTTCGAAGCATGGACTTGGGAAAAGCACTGGCGTCCCCTGGCAGCTGTGGGTCATCTCATGCAACCGGCTTCAGCCTAACCTAGAGGACGGTCTCTGATCGGGGCTGGAGTTGCCTAGAGGAGCACTCACAACAGCTACACGATCCCTTCATGTCGTTGGGGCCCCGTGTTGTTTCTGATCAGCAAATCGTGTTGCTTGGAATGACTTACCTTTGTTTGGCACCTTCCCGGGACTGAGCAATGGCAGTGCAAAAGAGGAAAGCCCTCAGTGAGATGGACTGACACAGGGGTGCAACAATGGGCTCACACATGACACTGATCGGGATGGGCGGTGTCTCGTTCGGCTGTGCCTCCGGTCCCTGGGAGTTGGAACGGACTCGAGGAACACCTAATCACAACCGTAATACTTCTCAAAAGCCAACCCCATTCCTCCGGAGCCCATCCCACCTCATTGGACCCACAGGGCAGAACAGAACTGCCCAATCGGGTGGCTGAGGCTGCCGTATTGACGAAAGCAGACTGCTAAATCTTTCTCCCTCACAGCAGCCGGTGGGGTCAAACCACCATTCTTTCGGTCGGCAGAGGAATGCTTGACCACTGCGCCATCGGAGCTCCTGACAGCTCGTCTCACTCGCACTCAAATATGCTTCTCCAGGCAGGAAAGAAAGGGCTGGAACCCCAACTTGCAGCTGCAGCCAGTGTACATTGCTCTTGCGCATGGTGTGTGGTTTTGATTATGGAAATTGCAAAATTGATCACGTTTTAATGGTTTGAAGTATTTGTTTTCAATGTTGTCAGAAGCTGGGAAGGCCAGGGGAGGGTACTGGTGTTGGCCATGTCATGTGTCCTGGGCGCTGTGGCAGAGAAAGGGACCCAGCACCCCCAGGGTGGAACCCTGGGGCCCTATTGGATCTGGAATGCTGCCACAATGCTTACAGGGAGAGGCTTCACATCATTTGTGGAAAATGGAATAATGGAAATTCTCCATGAACCTTGGATATCCTCTACTGTATATGAAAGGGCAAAGGAAGAAAAAAAATCTGATCTAATCAATGACAGCTAGGAAGAGAAAATTGGTCTATTTCCCAAACCTTTTTTTGTTTAATAAATATATAGATTCATTAAATATATATATAAATGAATATAATATACACACACACATATTTGTAGCTATACCTGGACATCCAAGACTTCCAGGCTCACCCTTTGGGCCAGGAGGACCAAGCATACTTGCAGGATCTCCTGCGTTTCCTGTAAATGAGAACATGCACATATTTAGGAAGGTTTCATTCGATCTTAACACATGTGACATCATAACTTCAGGAGCATTTCTCTTTACAGTCTAGTTTTAACTATTCTGAGAGGATTATTTTTAATT